AATTGCTTTTTAAAATTTTTGCTAATATTTTTCTATCTATAAGTGCTTTTTGGCTATATTCACTTAATTTTTCTGAATAAATATCTATTATTTCAGAAGAATTATTTTTCTCTTCTTTTATTTCATTCATCTTCGCTACTTATTTCATATTCTATATCTGTAAAGAAAAATATACTTTCATCAGAAGAAATTTCCTCTATTCCTACAAATCTATTTATTTCTATTAATTCATTATTATTAATCAAGTTTTCAATGTCATCATCCGCTTCAAATCTCTTTTTATTAAATTTTTTAGGACATTGATTTGCTAAGTGTCTTTTTTCTTTACAAATATAACATTGACAATCTGTTATATTTCTTTTTCTTTTATTTCTCCTATATATTTTTTCTTTTTTGGAAAATTTTCTCTACATTTTTAGTATTTAGCCTTTCTTCTTTTCATATATTTCTTTTAAAATACTTCCACTTTTTAATATCTATTTTCATCTTATGATAATAATATGGAGTGTCACATCCTATTTGGGTAGGCATATTAATATTATTACAACATAGTGTCGATATTTTAAATTACGTGTCTTTCTAAAGAGTATGGATTCTTCATACCATTTACTTAGTTTATCTAGTATATGAAATATTCTTTTTTCTAGAGTATCTTTAGATCCAGAATTATATTCTTCTCTTAATTTCTTACCCCATGAGTCAAGAATTTTTGAGAAAAATATTTCTAAATATGTTTCTCTTTCCTTTGAATCTATTCTATAATAATAATCTTGAAAAACACAGATATACTTATCTATTTCACACATATCACAGAGTGTTAATTTAAGTAATACATTGGCATATTTTTGAACTGAATTAGCATGTTTAAACTAAATTCCTTCACCAACAAATTCAAGACGAATTAATTCAAGTGCTCTAGTTTTTTTTAAATAATCTTTTTTCCTTTATTAATAAAATACAATTACAGAGAGGGGAAAAACCTCCTTGAGTACAATAGCTCCGACACTCACTACCTCAAAAGGCAAGAAAATTAGGATAACCTAACCTATCCAGCTTAAGGTCTCCTCGAACCAACCGTGGCAATTGCACGAACGAATCGTATACGAAAGTAGAACCTAACTCCGTCCCAACCTTAGATAACTGATCAGCAGGAACATTCGCTTGACGCTAAGAATGAGTGACAGAATGAAAAGAATGCCGAAAAGCAAGCAATTCCTCTAGCTCTCGTTGCAATCCCGATGGGCACCTACTAACCCCTTAACCATTTGGACCAGAAGTAAAGAGTCCGATTCCAAGTGCAAGCAACATAAACTTCTCGTAACACACAGCTTAACTCCAAATAACAAAGCCTTCAATTCTGAATGTAAACTCGACGTCTCACCCCAATAACCGCGAAACCTATCAAGAATATTCCCGCACTATTCCTCAACACCCCCACATCCACTCCTTTCCGGATTACCCTGAGAATAACCATCGGTGTTCAGTTTCAATAATGTCGAGATCGGAGGGATCCACCTAACTAAAGTGACCTTAGTCAGCGTCTTCCAACCCACTAGCGAAGTGTAAAATCTTGGCCACGAGTACTGCCCCACTCCCATGTCCTTGAAATGCACCTGGAGAATATCACAGAGATCCGAAAGAACAAAGCCATGTACCTGCATGGCCGACAGCACCTTCCCTTCCCACACCGCCACATTTCTAGCTTTCCAAAGGTGCCAGCAAATCAGCGATGGCAACACCTGATAGACCAATCTAAGCCACTTGTTCTTAGTCGCCCGCAACCACCATTGAATGACTGCATGTTTTACCGTCGATGGAGTGGCAAAGTCCCCAATCTCGACTTGAAATGACTCCCAAACCTGCTGCGGGACATCACCAGCACAAAATATATGATCAATTGAATCCACCCCTGGATTTTCACAAGCAAGCACATCGTGATGGCCTGCACACACCCCACCGCTGCAACACACCGGCAGTCGACCAGACAACATCCTCATCATAAAAAATGAGATTTTTGCTAGCAAAGCTGTTAGCCAGATATTAGATGAAAATATGGAAATATTGGAGACCTTGCGTACCAAATTATACGTAGAAGAAATGGAAAAAGAGCCAGAGATATCCAAATCCCACACCATCCTATCGGGCTGCTTAGAGTAAACATCAAGAGGGGTTATCTGCAGAATCATAGGGACAATACTTTCCGGAAGCCACTGACGAAGCATTGGAATGTTCCAGTGCCCATTCAAGACAAAGTCCGCCACTGTGTGATCTCCAAAAATCTCGACCCGCTGACACAAAGACTTGTATTTTGTTCTTTTCCATATATTATTACTTAACCTCTTCTGGTAATGTCTTCCAATATCACAAGACGCGATTTACTGGGGATCTTTCTAAAAATTCTTTGACTCTTCATATGATAATTTATTTATAGAAATAGCTAATCTTAATCCAATTTTACATTTATCTATCACTTCTTCTATATTTTTACACAGTTTAAATCTAAAATGTTCCAAAAGGAAATATAACTTCAGGTGTGATCCTATCTAAGTGTATAACCTTAATTGTCTAAATAGTCTTTTTGTTTTGCTATATTCATTAATGATGAAATGAAAGAGTTTTCTAAACCAAGTTCACGCCTAGCATACGAAGAGGCAGGTCTACTGGATGAAGGTATATCAGTTATATTTGGGGTTTATTTCTGGTTTCATATACAATTTTATATTTATCATCAAATTATTAAGTTTATTACCTATATTTTGTATTTCAAAATCTGAGGGATAAATAAAGTTATTTTCAGACTCACTCATTTTATTTTAGTAATATGCTTTGTTAGGTATTCTATAGCGGTCATATTTTTTTCAATAATTTTTTTTTCTGAATTTATTTTCTCTAGTTTTTCTTTCATGTTTTTTGAATGCCTTTCTTTAAATCTTATATATGTATAACATTGTTTTTTGTATTTCAAATAGGTCTTTCTCTATTTTTAAATTTTCAAGTTCTATTATTTTGTAGTTATCCGAATTCATGTGTGCATTCTTACTAAATGTAAATTTCGATTTGAAACAATCTTTTCTAAGTTTCTTTTTTCAATATCTAATAATATATTTAACGCTTCTAATATTATTTCTTCAGAGGAATATTTAACAGTAAGTTGTCTTACCTTTTCAATATCTAATAATATATTTAATGCTTCTAATATTATTTCTTCAAAGGAATATTTAACAGTAAGTTGTCTTACCTTATTTATTTTAGCATTAGCTGCTAGATCTTTACTAATAAAATTTTGACATTCTTGGAAATATGTTATTCTTTCATAAGAATTCATGGTGGATTTAAATGAGTTTCTCTATAATGATTAGTAAAGTCTTTATTTAGTTCTGCATATTTATTAGTTATTAAATATTTTTCATGTTCAGCATCTCTTAAGGTCTTATATCAATCATGGCAACCCACCTTTCTTAATAATATGTAATTCTTTCATTTAATTATTTTAATTAATATGCGAATTCTTTAATAAGAAATAATATCGAATCACAACATTTTAAAGAGACGGATAGTGCCAATCAAAATCGTCAAATTCTATTCCATTATCAAAATATCTAATAGGTATTGGGTTTGTATCAAATTTTTCATCAGAAATATAATCACCATTATTATTTAAGGGAATATGTAGATCATTTTTTGGGAATTGTGGGATCATTTAGGGCACCGCTACAGAGAATGAAGAAAAAAAAATTTTTTGTTGGACTTCAGTTTGGTTTTGAAGAAGAGCTCTTTGGTCTGTTGGAACTCATTGAGAGTTTTGTGAAGAAAATGGAGCAAGATTAATATGTTTGTCTTTTAGTCCGTTAAGATATGTTGAACCTTTTGTGAGTTTTGACCCGTTGAGATCCATTGAGTCTTTTGCATCCTGGTTCGTTGGTGGCTCGTTAGGATCTGTTAGGACTTTGGTAGTTTGTTGAAATCCGTTGGGACTTTTTATGGAGAAGGTGAAGCTTGTTTGCCATTTGTTTGCTATTTGTCGATGTTAGATACACGCCAAGATGGAAATTTGTTGAATTTGTCTTTTTATCCCACATCAAAAATTTTATAAAGAAATATCTCCTCTTAATGATTATAAATATAGTAGATTTAAATGAATTTAATTGTGCTAAAGGTACTGGTCCAAGTACTGTATACACCAATTCAAGAGAGTTTTAAGGGACCCACACCCCAACTAGAGAGAAGTTGGTTAGATATCAAACCAAAAGAGCAAGTCATGGGCTTGAAACCATTAAACATTTAATGCTAATTAGGCACTTTTGTATTTTCAGTTTTAGGTACCTTTTGAGTTTAAAAATTATTTTCTAGATTTTGTATTCTCTCTTTTGTGCTATCTTTTTATTATAATAAATCTACTACCCCTTCGCCCATGGACGTAAGTCAGTTTGACCGAACTACGTAACTTTTGTTTGATTTATTTCTTCTGTTATTGTCATTATTGAATTGTCAAGAACTCTATTATTCTCGTTGGTCAATTTTCTCGGACTCTGAACAGATAGTTTTTTTGATAGTCCGTCTGATAGTCCGTCGGGCAGCGGTGGCATTGGTTTTGTAATCTTCAATCCCTGCGAACAGGTAATTCATAAGTTATCCAAGAAGATTTTAGTGGATTCTCCAGTCCATGCGGAAGCTTTAGCTTGCTTGGAATTAGTTGTCTGGGCAAGGAGGCTTTGTTGTAATTCCCATGTCAGAACTAACTGTATATTGTTCCTATCCTTCATTAAATACAGCTCCATTAAAGTTCAGTTTCAGCATGGCTAAACCTGGAGCATGCCATCAAATCTGCAACAATTTGCTAAGATTTGCTGCAGTGATGCTTCACCAGCCCCACTAGCTTAATTCTTCAGGTAAATTAATTCCAAAAAGCACCTGTTGCAAAGGATCCTTAATCTGACCACCATGAACCCGAGCATTCCTAATGGATTCGATTTTATCTAAAGTGAATTAAGGAACAGAGATGCAACTAAAAAGATAGCAAACTAGAAAATAGAATAGCTAAATAAAATTAACAGGCATTCAATTTGTCTAAAGAGATCAATTTCAGAGTTAATATTTATAATAATGGATTAAAAATTCATCCAAAACATAATAGGTGGGGTTCATCCTTCTGTTCTGTGTTCTTTCCAAAGCTTATATATCACAAATTCCCTTATTATGATCATGTCTGCTGCTGCAAAATAGAATAACGAATAAAAAAAATTCAAAAACTAATGATGTGTACAAGTACAAAGGTAGCTGATCTAATTTAGAAGTATAAATTTCAATAGGTACTGCTTAACAACATGATAAATTCTCACCTACTTATCTTCAATCCTTGGAACTTAACAAATTGATTAATTTTTTAAACTCCAGCACCAGCTTTTAACACAACTGACATTCATAATTAGCATTAATTTCTGCAAAAACAAATTACAGTCATCTAGAGCAAAACAGTTCTCTACATAACAGATGTCTGTTGTCTTTGATGCTACTGATGCTCTTTAAGAAAATTAATACAATGAAATTTGACCACCATCTTGGCAAGAAAAGCAAACAACGGTAAGAAACTTCTCTATGCTCCAGCAAGCTTAATTAGAACGAAGACCTTTTCTGTAGCAAATTTGGCAATTAAAGCCCCTGTTATCTTAGAATATGGACATGTATGGTGAGTTATATCAGGTTTTTCTCTTCCTTTCCCCTCGTTTTGTGTCTAAACATCAATTACATGTTAAATAAATAACAGGAAAAGATAAAAGAAAAGAAAATCAGCACACTCAAAGTCATAAGTTTATGGGAAGATGTACAACCTGATTAAGTGCCTTCAAATTTACATTTTTTTTGTTAGAAGGCCAAACAAAAAAAAAAGGGAAAGAACAGACAAAATCTGATAAATTATGGAGTCTTTTAAATAGAATCTCCCATCCTAAAAAAAAAATCAAGCCCACTAAGGCATAAAACAAAAGTAAGTGTAGATATACCTCTTGCTGTATAATTTGAATTGTAAAATTTCTCAATTGATCTCTATCCAGCTACAACTTCAAGTCTAATTTGTGCAGTAGATTACACTGCAAGTACCATCTTCCTCTCAATCTCATTTGTATATCCTGGTCATAAACTCAAACATGCAAACCAATAAGAACCCAAACCATACTTGCTATTTTCTTTTTCAATGGGAAATACTTATTTAAATGATAAAAGACTCTAAGGCCTTGTTTGATAACTCAATTCAGCACTCACACTTAATGGAATTCAAATCTTAATATGTTCAGATGCGTTTGATAATCAAAATTAAAACATTTGAATTATTTAAGTGACACTGAATTTTCTAGGCAAAATTTGCTCCCAAAAATAAGTGATAGGCTATTCATTTATCACTTATTGTGATATACACTCAAATATATCAGATTTAGTACTTAAAATTTCAATAACGTAATAGATTCAAACTTTAGATTTCAGTTTTATCAAACATACTTTAAAGATAAAGATATGCATAAGTACAACCACTATCTAGCAAAAGAAAATGTAATGTCAAATTGGAACATAAGTGCCTATGAAGTCACATGAGCGACACCCAAGAACCCAACCATTCTCTAGCAGCTCATTCCACTTATACTACAATCAAACTCAAAAGTCATTTTATCAGCTTCAAGTATACATAAGAACAACCACTGCCTAGCAAAAGAAAATGTAATGTCAAATTGGAACACAAGTACCTATGAAGTCACATGAGTGACACCCAAGAGGACAACCATATTCCACTTTATATTACAATCAAACTCAAAGTCATCTTATCAGCTTCAAGTATCATACCTTCCTTGCCAGTTCTCTGTGCTGAGGCAAAAACAAGAGCAACAGAAAAGAAATAAAACACTAAATACAAGATAAAGTAAGCAAGTAACATTACATACAACCAAAGAAAACCTGTTAAACTAAACTGAAGAGACGGTTAAGGAAAAAAGCATAAAACAGTTTCTTCATTTATCTTTCCTTTGCCAGAAACAAGGTGTACATTTAAACAATCCTATTAGCTTTCACTATTCCTTTAGCAAATTCAAATTGGAACAAATTAAAGAAGATCAACGATGCAGTTATTGAGTTGACTCCTCATAATTCCAACCTATTTTGGAATATATTTGTTTAACCATGCAAAATACAGCTAGGGAGTAAAACCACCTTAAAATGCATTAAACATTTACCATGCTAAAAAGGGTGCAAACTCTAAATCCTACAAACAAGTCGGGAACAAACTCATGGAATGAAGTAATATTGTGCTGTATTGCACAAGGGCCAATATGATCTTTTCACCAGAAATCCTTCAAATATAAACAAAACCCATCAAGTAAAATTAGTCATCCAAGACAAAATCTTCAAACTTGAACTTACAACACTGGAATTTCAAACTAATAACAAAACTATAAGGGACAAAAAAATCTCAAATCCACATTTGCACCTTTCATTATTTTTGCTTAAATAAAACCTTGTTTGGGATGTTAAGCTATCACATCTTTTTTATCACCATTTTTTTTTAGTTTCAGAGTAAGATATAAACTCACTCACGCGTGAAGAAACCTTCTGACATGTATCAATAATGGCTTGAGTGCTTAAAGTCAAGGAAAAATCTGGGAAAGAAAAAACTGCGGGTATCAAGTTCAAGTTTGTGATTTCGTTCGTCCGGGCAAGTTTGTGAGGTGACTGGCCAGTGAGGGTGATAAGGTGTCGGTGGGTGTACAAGTGAAGTTTTACGGACCATTAAGTGTGGTCGACGGAGTGTCGGCAGGAGATCACGCATGGCATATGAATTGGCTTTGGAGCCTCCTGTATCCTTATTATGTGATGTTACTTTTTTGCTTTTGCTTTACTCTTACTATGTCACTGTTGTTACGTGAAATTTACGCTTTTACCCTGTTTACTTACTAAGCATATAGCTTACCCCATTCCTTTTGTTTTCCTTAGCAGGGGCCGACGCGGGGACTTTTGTCACACACACTAGCATAGTTAGGTTTGATTGTAATAGTTAGACTTATAGTATGTTTGTTTTAGTTTTAGTTTTGGTGGTTTGTATAAGGACCCTCCTTAGGGTCTACATTTTGGTTTTGGTGGTAATTATAAGGATGTAATAGTGTGAGCAGGTACTTTTGGAGAATGTAATTATAACTCTTTTGGGATTGTATATAGAACTCTTTTGAATTTTTTGGCTTTTATTGTTTTAAGTTTTGAGTCCTGGCGCGAGTTAGGCAGGCGGCCCGCCGATACCCTTGGGTTCGCCCTTGGGAGAAGTGGGGTCGTCACAGGATTGCTGCCCAGGCGGCTACTACTGCCTAATTTTTCTACTATTAGCGTGTTTGGGAGGGTAACTGTGAGAACCCTGAAAATGCATATATAAATAACATTTCATATGTCATTTGCACTTCTTTTATTCCTTAATAATTCCTAGCATTACTTTTACTTATTTGCAATTAAGTACATAAAAACAGGTTTATGTGAAAAATAATATAATTTTTCTAAGTTATGAAATTTCTTGGTTTTGCTAGACTAAGTTAATATATTTAGAGCGAGATTAAATTTTTCGTATTAACATAAAATGTTAGATTTATATATATTGATCAAACTTGATTTTAATAGTTTAATTAATCAAACAAGAATGTTAAGCGTTAAAAGGAACCTTAATACTAAATTGTAATCGATAAATTTTAGACAAAAACGATATAAGTATCTTAAGTATACTGAGGACATAAGAATTTTTATAATTAAAGCCTTGCAAGATTAGCATGTCATTAGGCGATCAAATTATACTTGGGATTAATTTTTGGGATCAAACTAGAATCAAGGACTTAAGTGTTCATTAGAAGGAATGTGAAAAGACTAAACTACCCTCCCAAGCTCACCAAAACCACCATGCAAACCCAGCAAATTTCGGACAACATAATTACCTCACCTCTCATTCGGCCAATACATTTCTTTCACCACCTTCACACTCCACCCTCCTGCACACTCAACCTCTTCTCCTAAATACCGCAACACCACCACCCTTCACAACCTCATTCTGCTTTGGACCAACAACAAAAGAGAGAGGAAGAGACTTACCTCGTGAGTATCGACCGAGAGAGAGTGAGAGGCCGAGCTGCAACATCTTCCATTTCTGTTCGTGAGCTAGAGGAAAGAAAGGGGAGAGCAAGTGGGAGTCGTAGGAGCTGCTGATCATCATCATCTTCGTCAACTTCAGACCAACATCCACCAGCTGCAACCAAAATCTGCTGCGTGCGTGAGAGCCGAGAGGAAGGAAAATTTTTCAAACTTTCTGTACGAGAACTTAGCTTGCTGTGAGGTAATTTCTGGATCATTTTAGGAGTTATCAGAGGTAGATTGAACCCTTTAGGGACATGCATGCATGGTTTAGACAGCCGGTTAATGAAATCAAGGTCTTGGGAAAATCTGTTTTGGAAGTATATGTTTCGGCTGAGAAGCTGATTTGAAATGCAGCTTCATTTTGTTTTTCCTGTGACGATCTGAGCACTCCAATGGAATTAGCCGTGAGAATACGTGATGATTAAGACCATGCATGTTGATTGTACTTTCGGATGATAATGGTAAAGCTTAAGAAAATTCTGTTTTAAGAGGAAAATGTCTTAGCCGAGAAGCTGATTGGAAATGCAGCTTTAATGTTGTTCTCCTAGAGTAATCTGAGCATACAATGGTGATTATGTGAGGCCCCAGTTCGTTCTACGTTGATATATTCATTAATTGGGCGGTAACGTTTGGTTTTGGGAGTATTTCGAAAACCCTAAGTAGGGATTAAGATTTAAACCCTAAGTTCCGGTTAAGATTGAAAACCCGTTTTCCTACATTTTCTTTATTAGAAAATTCTCCAGATAATTTTTATTGAGTAACTAGAGTTTTTAGATGATTTTTCTAGTATTAGTTAGTTTTTGAGAAATTAAGAACGTATATCGGACGTGGGACCCACTAGTGCGAAAAGTTCGGAAAAATTCGGCCAATAAGGTTAAGTTTCGGATACTGTGTAAAATTTATCGGGTGTTAAGAGATAAGTAGTGTGTGTGAAGTGAGTGATGTGAGAGAGAAAAGGAAGATAAGAATGCATTAATGGTGGTGACAAGTGTCACCATTTCATTGGAGAAGACTTAAGAATTACTATTCATATTTTTGACTTTTTTTTTGACCAAAGGTTAAATATCTCAAAAATTCACCAAAAAATCACCATTTCCTCCTACTCCATGGCCGGCTCTCTCCTCTCTCTCTTTCTCTCTCTCTTGCTCCAAGTACAAAGAAGAAACACTTCAATCTTGTTCCAAATCATCAAACCAACCATCCAACCTTGATTTTGCTCTATAAAACATCTTCAAGTGGTGGTTGTGAGTTGTTTTGTGGATTTGTTTGGAAGAGCTAAGGTGGTCTACAACTCCTCTTCTCTTGTATACTAGGTAAGTGATGATTTAACATACTCTTGCACTTAATGAAGCTTAAGTTATGCTTATTAGTGATTAAAGTGCTGAAATTTCTGGTTTTATCTTGGTTTGGAGTGATTTGGTGAAGTTTTCCATTTTATGATGATTTTTCTGGTTTAATTGGATTATGATGGTGTGGTTGTTTGTGATGATTGGTAATGGACTATAATGGCTCTAGTGGATGTGAAATGTGGATAAATGCAACCAATTTTGGATTTGGTGTGAAAATTGCAAAGCTAGGGTTCTTAAATCCCCAATTCTGTCCGGTTTTGGATCATAGGGTTAGAGGAAGAATTTGACTTTGCTCAAAACATGAAAGTTGTAGGTATTGATGTGTTTGAGGTGCCTACAAAATTTCAGGTCATTTGGATTAATGTAGAATGCGATATGACGAAAATACTGTAGCTGTTCTGCTTTGGACAGAATGCGAAAACTGCGTTTGTATTTGGCCATTTTGATTGGAATTGGTTTGGATTTTGAAGTTGGTGTCTTCTGGTGAAATGTATCTGAATGTCATAGCTATCATATGCCTTTGGAATTTCAGAATTTGGACTTGTATGGACTGAGATATACCGATTACAGTTTTCTGTGTTTTGCAAACCTGTTTTGGAAATTCTGGTATAGTATTTTGCATATTTGACCTAATTGTGCTAGGATTTGGACTGAGTGACCTTCTACATTGTTGTAGCCCTGTTTAATAGCTTCGAAACGGTGGGTCTTACACCCCCATCCGATAACCGTAGTGAATTTGGTGCCATTACCGCATATTGAGGTCAAATACGGTTTGTGATTCTAGTACGTTTTTGGAAAGTTTATGGCTGGAACTTTGGCTTCACATTTGACTGAGTTACAAGCTGTTTGGGCTTCCGACCAAAACACCAAACTTATAGCCCTATATCAGAGCTTTCTAACGCCCTTGGAATTTCATGAATCGGATTTTTAAAACCTGAGATATAGCCGAGCAAACAAGGCCTGTCCGTGAAAATGACCAGAAATCTGTTTTGGTCCTGATGACCAATTTCCGTTCCGAATTTGGATTGCCGACCTTCATGAAAGTTGTTCCATTTGGAATGAACTATCTAACTGCCAATTTTCAGCTCTTTTGACCATGTGTAGCATAGAAAACAGTTCGTACTCAAAACTGACCATTTGTGCATTGGCCAGATTTCGTAAGTGATTGTGTTTGGTTCATTTGGGACTGAAGCCTCCAGTTTCAGTTCTGGATGTCTTCATAACAGTTGTTGTTCATCCTTTAAGCTTCGATTTGGCATCTCATCCGCCTTAATCCGATATTCGTAGCTCAACTTATGGGTGAACTAGAAATGAGTATCAAATCTGCCGTTTGCCGTTTCCGCACGCGTGCGTGTGCCCTTTCCGTACTTGCGTGTGCCGATGTTGCTGTTTTATTTGTTTTGGGCACGTTAGTGGCCATTTATGACATCATGTGATGCAATCTTCTATTTCAGATCGTGGTGAGCTAGGCGGAGCTGGTGGGCCCTACTAGCGAACAGGCACGAAGTGATTTTCACGTTTGTACTACTTTAGTACTTTGTGTAAGTATTCAGGCCAGTTTGGTGTGTTTTCTTTGCTATGTGTTTGAGATATGTGAAAAGGGCACTTAGGCGAGGGTGTACTTTATCGCACTCGACCTAAACCCTAATTTGAATGTATAATTGTACTTGGCATATGTATAAGAACCTTTTGGAACCAAAACCCTTGAGCTTGCGGCTCGGGGCGACTTTTGAATAAAGTTTGTGAAGTTTGCAAAGTTTGTGATTTTGAATAATTTTGTGAAGTTTGTGAGTTTGGGGCGAACTCTTGACCTGGTTGGACTATTCGAGCCGGTTAGGGCTTGGTCGAAGGCAGTCCAACTTAGTCTGAGGTCACCAAGTTTGTAGGTTCATGTTATGAACCAATTTTGTGAATCCGGTTCACCGAGAAGGTGACCAAGTTTGTGACCCTAGCTTGTGACTCAAGCTCAAGTTTGTGATTTCGTTCG